TCGAATGTACCATAAATCAAGTTTCTCACAGACACATTTCAACGCCAATTCCGGCGGCGCATGCGCCATTAGCCAATATTCCGCTCTGGCGCCAAGCATTTCTCAGCTAATACAAAATATTCTCGGCGTTGAAATTAACAATTTCAAAACTATTATGTAAATAAATATAAATATAAAGGCACTACAATAAATTATTTCACAATAACAAATCACAATATTGAAAACTATACATTCAAATCATTACAACAAATACCAGTTTATAATAGAAATAACCCATCATTCTACAGGAAGTATACATATATCTCGAACATTTCGTTTCAACAAATGCTGATTAGGCAATCTTACAGTTACTACTCTTATTTTGTTATCCCTACCATGAAACACCTCAGCTATTCTCCCCACTAACCATTTGGTTGAAGGAAAATTTTCATCTTTTATTAATACAAGAGTTCCCAACTGAACGTCATCCTTTAAAAATTTCCACTTGTGACGTTCTTGTAAATTATTCAGATAATCACGTTTCCATAATTTCCAAATTTTTTGTGTACACTTAGTGATTCTTTGCCATTTAGAAAGTCTGTTCTCATTTATGTTGGATAAATCTGGCTCAGCTAGAGTAGTGATAGGTCTGCCAACCAAAACGTGACCTGGGGTCAAAGTTTCAAAATTATTGTAATCAGCTGAAATTGGAGTAAGAGGTCTTGAGTTCAATACTCCTTCAATTTCAGTTAAAACAGATAAAATTCTTCTAAAGTTAAACACTGATTACCAATAACCCTCTTCAAATGACTCTTAAATGATTGAACCCCTGCCTCCCAAATTCCGCCGAAATTTGGCGACTTTGGACGAATAAATTTCCACTCTATACCTTCAGTGGTATAAAAACTCGCTAAATTCTCATCTGGACACTCAACCAACTTTTGCAATTTTTTGAGTTCTACATAAGTACTTTTGAGGTTTACACACTTACCTCTTTTTAATTGATTTATTTCTTCTAGAAACTTACTTTTTTGGGCCTCTAATAAAATATACACCTTAGCATCCTTTATCTCTTCTAAAGTAAGTACTCCGTATCTCCCTGCCTGAGTTCCTATCCTGGTTCTTAAGATTATGGATAAACCTGAAAATGAAACTTATAATACGAATAAGTTTAGTATAATTAGAAGACAAATTAAGAATATCATTAAAGAGGTTTGCTTCATTACATGTAATTAAAACTAAGTTAGAATCGTTATGCAGTTCATTGTCCTTTTTAAGTTCATTTGGACACACTTCTTCAACTACCTCAAATGATAAGTCGTGATGAGGAATCTCTGAGCATGTTAAAAAGTCACAGCATGACTACCATTTGGAACAGTTCACAAGAAAGTCAATTTGAACACCACGCGTGCCATAACATCTGCTGGGTTCTCTTTTGTTGAACAATAGAACCACTCTGTCGGCTGTGTTAACTTCCTAATCTCGTTAACTCTGTTGGCGATGAAAGATTTCCATTTGGTACTGGTACCTTTAATCCAGCATAGCACTATTTTTGGCATCAGTCCAATAAAATATTCTCGAGGATTTCTTTTGATCGAGCAATTTTTTCACTCCAGAACCTAAACGCGCTGCTAGTAATGCACCAAGTAATTCAAGACGAGGTAACGTAATTCTTTTCACAGGTGCAACACGACATTTTGATGCGACGAAACTCACAGAAATTTCTTCTTGCTTACGCAGTTTTACGTAGACAACAGTACCGTACGCCCTCTGACTGGCATCTGAAAAGCAATGGATCTCTATGGAATCGGCTTCGGGATTCAAAATGAATCTTGGAACTGCAATTTTACTTAGATGATGACACTCACAGCACCACTTTGCCCACTCTTGACAGATATCTGTAGGTAGTTCATCATCCCATGTCAATTTTCGAACCCAAAGTTCTTGTAGCAAGAATTTAAGTCTAACAGTAAATGGAGTTATTAACTCAAAGGGATCAAAAATCTTCCCGGCAGTTTTCAAGATGAACCGTTTCGTATTACGCTTATTCTTAAGGAATTCCATCAAACTGTCTGTCTCTATACTCAGACTGTCTTCATTAGTATCCCAAGATATTCCCAAGATGTGTCTCGTTTGATTTATGTGTCTCGTTTGATTCCTTGATTTTATGTGGATGGATCTCGAAATCTTCCTTTCCCATTTTCTCATCAGCTCAGGATCATTGGATACCCATTTACGCAAGTTCATATTTGCTGCACTCATAATTTGTTTAGCTTTTCGCGATAAGCTTAGAGCCTCATCTACACTGTCCTGTCCAGTAATAAAATCATCAACATAAACACAAGAATTCAATATTTCAAATACATCTGGCTGCTCATCTCGATATTTTCTAATGTGTTCTTTAATTGTTGCAGCCAACAAAAACGGACTTGACTTAATCCCAAAATTTACGCGCTTGAATCTATATGTCGCTAGTTTTAGATCATTTAATTGTGTGTTTTCCACAAACACAAATCCAGGAATCATCGCACTGCGTCTTGATCCTTTTCTGCCAAAGCAATCTGCAAAAATGCTTTTTCTACATCCGCTGAAATTGCAACTTTATTTAATCGGAAATTAATTAGCAGATGGAACATATTAGGATTTAAATTTGTCCCTGTCCATAGACAATCGTTCAGTGATAGCTGCCCGAACTCATGTGAGCTGCCATCAAACACTATTCTAGTCTTCGTTGAAGCACTGGTTTCTCTAAATACCGGTTGGTGTGGTAGGTAAAATACTGGTTTACCGATAGGTATATTTCCATCTGACACTCTTTCAATGATACCTTGCTTGAGATAATCATCTAATATTTCACTATATGTAGAAAACAGTGTTTTTGTCATAATTCATTCGCTTTGCAAGAGTTTTTAATCTATTTTCCGCTACTCGGTAATTATCAGCTAATTTCCCTCCAGTCCCTTTTCCAAGGTAAAGTAACCTCGTAGCGACCAGCTTTAAAACAAACTGTCTTATTAAATATTTCCAATGTTTTGTCTTCCTCATGACAATAAGGATCATCTTTAATTCCTAATGATCCTAGTTCAAAAAATATTTGCAATTCACTCTCTGAATTATCATTTATTAACCCACAAAATGATAAATTATTTCTCCGTGAATCATTTACATTTCCACTAACTATATATCCAGACACACTATTTTGTAATATCAAGCCTGTGTTAGGAACACAGTTTTTACCAGCTCGTAACATATCAAAAAAACTTCCTGCGCCGAGCAACAGGTTTACTTTCTCTGGTTTATAAAATTCCGGATCCGCTAAATTCACCTTCTCAGGAATCACAAGGTTACTAACATCGATAAACTTTGCGGGAGTTAAACCTGCTATTTTTGGAAATTACCAAAACCTCTAGTTTCCTTTTATACGTTTGTTCCTGATTACAGATAAGGGCAACTGTTTTTCTTTTTATCGTAGTTGAAATACCTGATATACTGCAAACCGAAATATTTGTTTCTTCCCTTTTTAAATTAAGTATATCCGCTAATTCGGTGGTACAAAAACAAGAAACACTTCCACTATCACATAACGCTTTCACCTTAATTAAAGTTCCACCATTAGTCTCAATGAATACAAAGGGAGTAGATAAAATCACGTTTTCCCACTGTTTGTACCCGTAGCGGCTGTAAAGGTTTTGTTTTGAGTTTTAGCTTGAAATGCAGATGCATATACATTTAACGCATTGCTGTTTTGATCACCCAACTCCTGATCTAAAGTATCTGCTCTTCTACTGTGGTGCCAACGGAATTATTTTCGTTTTCATAACACAAGAGAAAGCTATGTTTTTTCTTACACTTCTTGCACAAGTAATTAGAACGGCAATTTCTCACACTGTGCAAGATTAAAACAACAAAAACATAAATTCTGTTTTTTTCACAAATTCTACCCTTTCTTTTACACTTAATTTCTGAAATTTAGGACAATTAAAAAGCTTGTGATTGCTCAAATTACATAACCTACACGAATTCTGCATATGTTTTTCATTTGCATTAGAAACAACAGCGGTAACTCTATGTGGTAACTTTTTTTTTGTGTTAGTCACAGTATTTGAAGCGTTGAGAGTTCTTGCATGATCTTTAAGAAATTCTATAAGATCTGTTAAATTAGGCAAATTATCTTTCTCTAATTTTCTTTCCCACCATATTTTGGTGTTAGGATCTAATTTTTGCCCTAAAATGTATGCAAACACATTGGAAGAAAAACCGTTAACACTCTGATTTAAAACTTCTAGTGATCTCACGCATTCATTTGTAATGTCAATTAAGTTTAATATTGCTGACGGAGACTCATTTTGCATAGGATGCATATTCATAAATCGTCTCAGAATGAGCATACACTTGTTCACGGTGATTAGAGAACCTTTCTTCTAGTAATGAAAAAGGCTAATTTATAATTAGAGTCAACTATGGATATTGACTGCACAATACGATAAGCATCTCCTCTTAGCGCAGATTTTAAGTACTGTAATTTGACTGCATCTGTTAAATTAGGATTTGAATCAACACTGGCTAAAAAGATATCTTTAAAATGAAAGCCACTCATGTAAGTTACCCGAAAACGTTGGTGAAATTAATTTTGGGTAATTTAACATTGTTCTCAGTATTCGTGCAAACCGAAAGGCTCCGATTTAATTTCTTTGGAAAGTTTAGCTAATTTAAGATTTAATTCGACTTCTACATCTAAGAGAATATCGTCAATCTCTTCTTTCTCTTTTACATAAGCATCAATACTTTCTTCCGTACATATCCCGAACAAAGAATCGAAATTAGAATTTATTTCTGTCTCAAACACTTTAAATTTATTCTTTAGTACTTTTAAGTCACTTCCTTGGACATTTTCGTCCGCAACCTTTTGTTTTAATTTTGTTAACTGTGTTTTTAACGTACGTTTTTTCGCTAATATCTCCTTTAGTGACATTTTAATTAGCAAAAGTCAATAAACAAATAAAGAGCTTCAAAATGGTACAATGAGCTTCAAAAAGGAGGAGGGTACTTACCCTTTTGTTTCTACAGAACTTCAATCTTGAAGTATCCTATATAATTCTTCATTTCACAAACCGAAAGTAAATGCGCACTCTCATAAACTTTATTAGCTCTTCCGGCTCTGATCGGCCACAAAACTTGTAATGACTTAATTCTATTTCCCGTCGATAGCTGTATATCGTAATAAAATAACTCCACACACATTCCACAGTTTAAATACATTTATTTTCCATAGCGACACTCAGGCGCTAGGTTCCACCTTACAGCGTAACATATGAATCGCAACTTCGAATGTACCATAAATCAAGTTTCTCACAAAATACATTTCAACGCCAATTCCGGCGGTGCATGCGCCATTACCCAAACATTCCGCTCTGGCGCCAAGTATTTCTCAGCTAATACAAAACAGCGTGCATTAAATAAATAAATATGTCCTTTTGATTTCGAGAAAGTACTAGAAAATATTAGCGCCTGATTTTAAAATCTTATAAAAGGAGGAAAACATCTCAGTTTGTAGGAGTTGCTTAGTTTGTTGTTTAGAAAACTGCTCTTGTTGATTGTAGCGAATTCGCGGATTAGCGTTCTTTAGCTGTTTTGAATTACGTTCTATTGGACATTTGAGTAGTTAAAAGATAACTACTGTGAGATATTGTAATACTGCATGATAATTTGAGAAAATTTAAGCATTTTTGTTGTGATAATAATAAATTTTTGTTCATTTTTCATCGGACTTGTGCATTCATTTCATAACGAACCCGTACGCACGCAACAATTTTTGGTGGCAGCGGTGGGATTTGAATGCCAATAACAAGAGCGATGGAAGAACAATTCAGGCAAATGATGACTGCATTTGCTGCTTTCCAAGAAAAGATGGAAGGAGCCGTCAACTCCGTTAAGGAAGATACAAAAGCTGTACAAGAAAAGATGGAAGCTGGCCAAACATCTTTTAAAGAAGAAATTAAAGAGAAAATGGATGCTGTTCAAATATCCGTTAAGGAAGAAATGAAATTGGGCCAGGAATCCGTTAAGGAAGAGATAAAATCCCTTAAAGACGAGATGAAAGCAGGTCAGGACGAAATGAAAAGAGAAATTACCTGCGTAATAGAAAATAAATTTTAGGCTATGGAAGGCAGAATAGACGCGGTTGAAATTAAAGTTGGACAAATTGAAGAAAACGTTTCTTCTGTGAAAGCGCAAATAGAAGACAGAGTTTCGGCCGTGGAATAACAAATATGTTACAGAGTTGATTCAGTCAAAGAAGAAAATAGAAGGAAGAGTTTGTTCCGTTAAACAACAAATCGAACAACAAATTGATGAGAGAGTTTCTGCAGTTGCCAAAGAAATGGATACTTTAAAGAAATTCGTAGCGTCGGCAGGGAGCAGGAGTGATGATTTTAAATTCTTACCGATGCCTGCTCGTCCACCTCTGAAGCTATCCACATATGATGGGAAGACATCCTGGCAAGTGTATAAGACCCAATTTTCTATCGTTGCGGATGCGAATGGATGGGATTCCCAAGCTAAGGCCTGTCATCTCGCCGCTTCTCTGAGAGCCGACGCAGCGGATATCCTGCAGACTCTTCCCGAAAATCAAAAGGTTAGATTTCGAAGCTCTATCCGGCGCTTTGGAGCTGCGCTTCGGCGAGAAATGTTTAAAAGACTACAGCAGGCTCCAATTAAAATCCCGTCAACAGAAGCCACCGAAACACTTCAGGAGCTCGCCACGGATGTTGAAAGGCTGTCCCATCTCGCCTTTTCGGAGTGCCCGACAGAAACAAGGGAAATCCTGTCCTGCAATACTTTCATCGATGGCATCCGGAGACCCTGAAATACAGAAAGCTCTGCGAATGGCGGATGTTAAAGGACATAAAAAGCGCTCTGTTGTACGCCATGAAGTTCGAGGCAGCCCAGCAAGCAACTAGTAGAGATCGCTACCCAGTTAGAGCTGTGCGAGTCCATGAGCCAGTGGATCAACTGATGGCTCGTTTAGATGATTTAGCCAGACAAGTCGACGCTTTGATACGGAGTAGGAGCGAGAAGAAAGTGGCTCTAAGGTGTTGGAGATGTGGTAGTGAAGGTCACCTAAGACGGAATTGCAGAACACCCCAGGGTACGGAATATAAAGCAGATGATTTTACCAGACAAGTCAGTGGCTTGAGACGGAACAGAAGTGAAAAGAAACTAATTCTAAAGTGCTGGAACTGCGGAGTTGAAGGCCACATACGAAGAAACTGCAGAACACCCCGAGGTACGGAAAATAAGACCATTTCCCAGCAACCGACGCAGTAAACAAATTAGTGACCATATCGAGGAACGGAGGTTGCCAGATAATGAAAAACCTTGTTTTAAAGCTCTTAAAATTTATACAGTGAGTGGCAACAGTAACGGACTGTCCATCAATGGGAATATCGATGGAGTTCCTTGCAATATGATCATTGACACAGGAGCTAATGTTACCATCATTAGGAAAGATTTAGCTGAACAGTTTAAAGATAAACTTATTTGGACGCCATCCTGTGTTACCCTTCAGACTGCGTCTGGTGATAAGATCGACATAACTGGGAAGTTAAACGTAAACATCACGTTTGGAAGTGCCGCCTACCATCACACGGCATATGTGGCGGATATTCACAGATCCATGCATACTCGGATTGGACTTTTTAAGGAAATACAATTTTTCCTTAGACTTCAAAAACAAAACTGCTTTCAGGCATCTGAGACATGACTATCCATCCTCAAGAAGGGATCCTCACCTGGAAATGCCGACGCTCATGTCCGAAAGACCAGCTCGAAAAGCTGCCGAAATCAGGCTAGGGTCGAAAAGAAACACCTGACTACCAGCTATTCTCCATCCCATATGCTCTTCGGTCGAGACCTTCGTCTGCCTTGTGACCGCCTGTTTCATCGCCGTTCGGATGCGCCTTCATCGCCTGAGGAACACATCCAAGATGTCAAGGCCCGTTTTGAAGTGATGCACCGTTCCGTACGAAAGCGAGTGGCGACGGAGAAAATGATAACCAGATACAACACAAGAGCTACTGGACATCAATTCCACGAAGGAGACAAGGTGTGGTTGTGGAATCCGACTCGACGGAAAAGACTTTGTCCGAAATTACAGTCACCTTGGGATGGCCCGTACACGGTCCTAAACAGGCTGAATGACGTCGTGGTTCGGATCCGTAAGTCTTCGAACTCTAAACCTAAAGTCGTTCATTACGACAGGTTAGCTCATTACTATGGCCATAGTACGTAATGTAAATAATTGTAAATAGTATAAGACCATGGTCCTTTTTGTTTTTAAATGTGTATTTGATTTGATTTGTATTTAGTATTTGATTTGCATTTAGTATTTGATTTGTATTTAGCATTTGTTTTGTATTTAGTATTTGATAGCATTTGATTTTTTTAAGTTAGTTATTGCATTTATTGTTCATGTTGTTTGATATTGTAATGTAATGTTTATACCTCAGTTGCATTTATGCCTCAGTTATAAGTTTGACTTCCTGTCCAGGGATTGTACTGCCCGGACGTGCAGTCCTTGGGAAGGGGGCAGTGTTACGAATTTGGTATTTAAAAAGCTAATGCTAGTTCAATTATAAATTAAATGGTTTTTATTTCTCGCGCAGTGCAGCGCGCGTGACGAATATTAAAAGAAAGCTAAGCCGGAAAATTAAAAATACAAGAGTGCGTGCATTAAATAAATAAATATGTCTTTTTGATTTCGAGAAATTACTAGAAAATTCTAGCGCGTGATTTTAAAATCTTATAAAAGGAGGAAAACATCGTTTGTTGTTGTTTAGAAAACTGCTCTTGTTGATTGTAGCGAATTCGCGGATTAGCTTTCTTTAGCTGTTTGGAATTAAGTTCTATTGCACATTTGAGTAGTTAAAAGATAACTACTGTGAGATATTGTAATACTGCATGATAATTTGAGAAAATTTAAGCATTCTTGTTGTGATAATAATAAATTTTTGTTCATTTTTCATCGGACTTGTGCATTCATTTCATAACGAACCCGTACGCACACAATAGTATATTAAATGTTAAGACCTTAGAATTTAGAAATTTAACCGATTAAGCAATTTAAATCTAAAATAATTTATTAAAACTAAAAATTTGCTAGAAATTGTGAATAAAATTAATTACCACACAACAAAATACAATTTCAGTAATTTAATAACACTGCATACCTTTATTTTTAGATTTCTTAGATAAAGACTTATGGGAAAATGAACCCGATGATTTTCGCAAAGTAAAACTAATATATGATTCTTGCATGGACACCCGTAAGTACAGTTTTAGATTTATGCTTTTATCATTTACTTGCACAAAAGAGAAGTGATACAAAAAATCAAAATCGTTTAGTTTTAATATTCGTAGAAGGCTTTAAAACTAAATAAAACTGTAAATAAAATACTTCCTACAATATTCGCTTTTTCAAAAGATTCAAAATTTTCGTTAGCTATTTATTTTATTTTACAAATAAAATTTGAATTGTCTTCCTATACACAATATGACGCATAACAATCTTGATTAGGGGTTCTCAACCGGTAGTACGCATACCACTGGTGATACGCAAGAGAAAAATAAGTGGTACGCAGAGAAGCAAAGTATTTTTAACTATTAAATTCAAAAATTAAAACCCTAACATCCTGATTTTTTCTCTAACACTCGTAAATTTATGCGATCTGATCTTTGTTCAAGGTCAGTAGCCGCTTATAGACTTTAGCAAGAGGCGAACGATCTGTCTGCATGGCGTTTCCATGTTGTACGTTTCACAAATATTCTTTTAGCCGTAGACATAACAAAATTTGCCATAAATGATGTTTTTAAAATGAGTGATAGAAATGGATGCTGCATTTAATAGGAAATAAAAATAATTTCTTATAAAAATATAATAGTATCTCATTAATTCTTTTATGAGTTTATCGATTTATTATCATGTCAATATCATGCCATTCCCAGGCTCTTATTGCTTTATTTTCAATGAGAATCACTTCTTACATCGATTTGCTGTCTAACAGCTGGTATTTTGTCTCTTGTTGCTTTGTATTCCTTACTTTTCTACGCGATTTGAGAATATTGTCGTTTGTATTTGAAGAACTCGTAATATACTGTGCATTTAAATATTTGTGAAAAAATAATAAACCAAACGTAGATTTTTCAAAATGTAAAAATGGCTAGAATTAACTAAGCGGAAAAGTGACGATTAACAGGTGATGGATCCAGGACAATCTACTACCACATATTGAAAAAAAAAAAATGTTTATAGAAAATATGATGAAAGTTATTTATCATTTGAGTTCACTGAGAATGGCAATGAAATGAGCCCTCAACCTTAATGTGTTATTTTCGGTGAACTATTATCCAACCAAATTGTAAAACCATCGTTTCTTAAAAGCCATCTTGAATCTAAGCATGCCAGTTTAAAGGATAAATCTGAAGAATATTTTAGGAGAAGTTCAGAGCTTCAGAGTTCAAAAATAGTAGACAAGTAATGAAGGTTTTCATACTTCAAGTGAAAAATCTTTGGAAGCTAGTTACCTAGTAAGCCTAAGAATTGCTAAAACTGGCTAGGCTGACGCTATTGGAGAACACCTAACATTACCAACAGGTAACGATATCGTTTTAACATTATTCAACGCAAAAGCAGCTAATGAATTAATAATATTCCGTTATCAAATGATACAGTAAGTCAACGAATTCATGAAATGGCAAATTCTATAAAAGATCACATATTAAAAAAATAAAACGCAGTGAGTATTTCGCACTGCAGTTGGAGGAAAGTACTGATATAACGAACTTTGTTCAATTATTAGTTTATATACATTTCGAAGAAGATAAACGAATTGCTGAAGAGTATTTATTTTGTAAATCTTTTCATGACAGAACAACTGCAAGTGAAAATTTCGAAGTAATTGACAATTTTATGTCTGAGAATGATATTCCTTGTAATAAGTGCATTGCCGTGTGGAGTATAGGGCTCGGGCTTTAACAGAAAAACATTCCGAAGTGATTTCTCAAATAAAAAATGTCGCACCTGAAACTAAATTTACTTACTGCTCCATATATCGTGAAGCTTTAGTAGCCAAAGCAATCCCCGAAAAATCTGAAAATCGTTTTAAATTAAGCTGTGAAAGTTGTTAATTTTATTAAAAACCGAGTTTTAAATTCAAGAATATTTACGATTTTATGCCAAGAGATGGGCAGTGAACATAAAACGTTTTTGTTATATTCCGAAGTAAGGTGGTTATTCAGAGGCACAGTTTTAAATTGTTTTTATGAACTTCGAACAGAAAATCAAATTTTCCTCTGTGATTCAAAATTTGAATTGCAAAAATGTTTATTTAGTGAATTAATGTTGGCGCTTTTAGCACATTTAGCTGAAATTTTTGGAAAGTTAAATGAATTAAATTTAGGATTACAAGGACAAAATGTTAATTTGTTTACCGTTAGAGATAAAGTAAAGGCAATGAAAAAAAAAACCTCAAGCTAATAATCAAAGAATTGGATGATAATATTTGAAGCTTTTTGCTACTTTTAGAAAGTTTTCTAACTGAAAATAATTTGAAAATAGAAGAAGAATTAGCATTCGACATTAAAAATTATTGTTTTTCATTGAAAAATAGTTTCAGCATGTATTTTCCCAAAGATTATGAAAAAGAAATCTGGATTAGAAATCCATTTTGTTCAAATATACCTGAAATTTTGTGTGTTGAAGAAAAAGAATAATTGATAGAAATTTCTTATGATAGAACTCTAATTGAAAATTTCAAAAATAACACACTGTAACCAATCCTTTAATATAAACTCTGCTGCTAACGTAAACTGTTGGACTAACTGTAACAACAAGGGTGCCCTCTGGAGAGTAGCCAGAGAAGGACCTCAGTTAGTGCTAAGTACTTAACCTTGTAAGGATCTTAAGTTTTACTAACGTTTATTTTATTTTAAATCTTTACTATCACTTCTTATTTTCTACTTCCGGCCAGAATTATAAGCGTGAAGGAGTTTATGCAAAGTTGTCTGGCGAACGCCAAGTATTTAAGTGTGGTCTTTTTGCCAAGCAGAAGAGAGGAAGCCGTGAGTTCGAAGCAGGCCGCTTACCTTAGAAGTTACGCAGTTGCTACTTTGCCTTCCAGGCCAGAGGTTTTAATCCTCCTGATAAATTAAACGTATTGTAGTGTTCACAGTCTCTGTGCTACATACGCTTCCTGTTATTATAAGGCCAATCTTATTCTAAAGTTAAATTAGAGTTTAGTTTTATTTTGATCTTTTAAGTTAGACCCCGAGTGGAGGGTCATTGTATTCCGAAGTACGGAAGTCACTGTATATAAAGAAAAAATAAAGGGTTTGGTAACCCTTCGTCTGTATCCTGTCTACTTACTACAATTAGTGAACATAGCTTTAGTAAGCTCTCTGTTCTAGTCAGGTCATTGTATGTTTCCGAAGAAGGTTAGAAGAAACATTGAACCTGATAACCTGATATGTTGTATCAGACTCTTGCTCTGTCATTTTCTTAAAGTTAAATGTAATGTTCGTGTATAACTTAAATCTGTTAATAAATAATTATTACACTATAAAGGACTCTTCTATGACCCTATCCAAAAAGACCCCCTTATAACACTTGTTAATGTTTGGCTTAACCGTACGAAAGAGTTTAGAAGCATTTCAAATAAAGCTATTAAATTTTTATTGCTTTTTTTGCACAACCTATATGTGTGAACAAGGATTTTCTTCCACGTTAAACATATATTTAAAAACTAAATACAGAACAAAATTAAATGTGGTTTACGCTTAAAACTAAGTGAAATAAGACCAGACATGAGAAAATTGATTTCTATTAAACAGATCCAAATTTTGCACTAAATTTTAGAAATAAAGTATTATAACTTAAATTTTGATAACCAAAATAATAACCAATATTTTATGTAATATTTTTATATGTGCATATTTAATTCAAATAGCCAATAAGTTTTGCAAATGGCAAAAAAATTTTATCCTAAGGGCGTTAGCCAAGAAGGGCTATAAATTTCAAAATGACACTTTGCGTCAATTCACTTTTCAAATTGTAGCCACCAAATATTATCCCATGAGTGTTACACACGAACATGTGTGTCTATTATAACTGCTGAATGTTTATTTTGTTTGTATTATATCAACCTATGTTCACACCAAATTTATTAAAATCTGTCCAGTAGTTCTAGAGATTGTAGATCAAATATGCAAATTCTCTTAATTTATTTCACCAGTGTGGAATGGATTTCAAATGTATTATTTACTTAAATTTATTTTGCATTATATATATATTTCTTTTTATTATACATATAAAGAAAATAATTATTATTGCATATGTACGTGACCCCTACCCGACTTTCGCCGAAATAACAGCATACAAATAAATCTATTTCTTATGCCAGGCTTGAACAGCTCAACGAATTTTTGCTAACTTCAGGAAAGAAATATACAGAAACATGGTAAAAAAAAAAAAAAAAAAAAAAAAAAAAAAAAAAAAAAAACGCTTGTCCCTCTAACATTACGAAAAAGCATATGATCGCATTGTCTCCAAACTCTGTGCATCGTAGCTGAACTTTAGCTTCACCATTGACCTCTTGAATTTCATCGAAAATCAATATTGCTTTCGATCTACAAACATTATTGCTATCGTTTGGTACCTACAGAATATTGCTATGCTCTACAGCAGATGCTACTTAACTGATATGGACAGTTTAAGTGTTATTCAGGGATAGGGCCTCGGCCCAGGAATCCGATTCCTGTGCCCTGCGACCACATATGGGTAGCGTTAGCAATTCTATGCTTGTTTCCCACCTTCCTATTTTTTTACTGATATGAATTTCGCGCATGAAATTACCCAGAGAAGTTTATGCAGTTAAAATATCATATTTAAGAACATAAATCGTTTGTTACAGTTCCAGGAATACTTTATTAAAACAATTGATAATAAAGACAAATTTATAACTCTCTATAACTAAAATTTTTATTGATAATGTTCTCTTTCTAAAACTCTAAAATATATTTTTCATTTTATAAGTATTTCTCCCGCCTTCTTAGCGTGCCTTCGTGGTGTAGCGTGCAGACACACTGGGCGTGTATTCGAAAAGGTCTTTGGTTCGATTCCCGGCGAAGGCATTGCTGATTTTTCATCTCTTATCCTTCTAAGTTACCTAATATCTCTATAGTGGCGCCCGAACTAAAAAGGGTGGTGGATGATGATTCTCCCCGATTGGATACATTAAAAATTTGGCGATTTGGTACACTAAAAATCCCAGTCGCCCTTTAAAAGGGGAGTACGTAAGGTATTTCTTCCGCCTTCTTAGCGTGCCTTCGTGGTGTTGTGGTCAGCACACTGGGCGCGTATTCCAGAGGTCCGTGGTTTGATTCCTGGCGAAGGCGTTGCTCATTTTTCATCTCTTATCCTTCGAAATAGCCTAATGTCTACAATTTATTAAATCACCGTAATTTGTCCTGCATAGGGAAAGAAAAACAATGCATATACATGGAAAATATTTTCAACTAATAGAAGTTCAATCATTTTATAAAATGATGAAATCTTTTCTTCCGATATGTTCTTATTTAACATTCTGTATGTTCTTGTTTAACATATTTCCTTTAACAGAAACCATTGAAAAGTTGAGCAGCGAGCCTCTGTTGAAGGTTCTGGAGTATCTCGGTGGTTGGCCAGTGCTCCAAAATGAAATATGGAATGAAACCACCTTCGATTGGATTAATACAATCAGTAAGATCAGACAAATGGGCTTTAATCACAACATCCTTATGGGGCTATCTGTAATTGAAGATCCTTGGAACAACTCGGCTCACATCTTAGAGGTAAATATATATAAGTTTAATATATACAAAAATAATGAAACTGAAATAATTTAGTAGAAATGTGTTTAGGAACAAAATAGGATATTTACTCCATTATTTTTATCTCTGAATTCTGATGCTGTTACTAATAAATCTTTAGATAGTTTGCGCTGTAGAAGGTTCGTTTGTTTGGCTTGTTTATTTGAATATGGCAAAGCACACGAGGGCTATCTGCCGAAGAGGAAGGATGTCTTTGTAGAGGCTTATAACGGAAACTGCTTCATATTTACTGTACACATAGGGAAACCACGAAACCAACCATACAACCAGCCTGTTCAACTGGGTTCGAACCTAGGGTTAATACTAGTATTCAGTAGAATTTCATTGCTCGGCCACTTGTTAGAGCCTTAGTTCGATAAAGTTGAACATAGACTGCAAGATACTGTGTTAAACCATTTCTGTTGACGTATAGTTCTTTTTAATTTGATTTAAAGTCTTCCTAAGCTAAGTTGTAAATTATGGTAGAATATTTAAACGACACGTGAAATACAGTGATACACTACTTTATTTTTGCAGGCTTTAACTTTTTTCCTGCCGACTCGCAGAGTGAAATATTTTAAGATTGCAATATACTATGCTATAAATGAAAGTCTGTTCCTCTCCATCCCTAACAGCTGATATTGTTACCGTGGAAGATAGTCTTGGTACTGAGTTCTGCATGTTCTCTACCCCCAAAATTATTTTAATTTGTAATTATTCTATAGAGTGGTTAGAAGTTTTTCGATGTCAGGAAACTGAAGAAATCCACAATGCCCTTGCCGGAATTTGAACTCCAGACCTCCCGAATACGAGGAGTTTCGAAGAAGCACTGACTTTTTACACATGTTACACGTCAGAAAAAAAATGCAGCTAGTGGAATCATCAGCATACAAAATCAAGTCAGACTTTTAGTACTTAGTAGTCTTATCCCATCGACCTCTCATGGTTGCAGCATCGGAATGAGCTGAGAATTTATTCTAATAGTAGCTTCGTCTAGTGTTTTCAAATACTATTCTATTAGTATTCTAGTGTATTTTTGTAGTTCTTCCTCTATCAGATATTACTCTATAGACTAGTATATTAGCCCCCACAAATTACATCTCTTATCCAAAAGTTTCGAGTCCATGTTATGTTATGCCTGCCCAGTTTGGACGTATTAATGTCGCTCGAATCGTGAAAGATTACAAACAGCTCGACATTGTGTGTTAAGACAGATAGAAAACTCACCTTGGTATGTGAGAAACAACAGGATTCATGAGGAGCTGCAAATTGAATAGCTCAGGTCTCACTATTTGCCGTGTGGCTGTAAAATTCTATGAAAATAAAGAAACAATTGATAATTTTGCTAGTGCTGTATATAATAACGATTTTAATGACCCTAACTACATTAAAACCCCATGGATATTTTGAATGATCAAACTGATTGAAGGAGATACATATAAATACTATATCCTAAACTTGTATTATAATTATGTTTGTTTTTCTCGCATTTTATGTCTCCTCTATTGTTAATTATCTTACGTATCTAGTTCTTAATTATAACCCACCATAAATTCGCTTATACCTTTCACTTTATTCCTTGTATTGCGTCATGATGGCCATGTTTTCAGATTACATCATCAGCTCGATCAGATGCTTCTGGCATCTTCTGCTACGTATCTTCGAATAACTTGAACGCCTATGCTTCCTTTACTTCTCGTTCTTAACTATAAAAGTGTATATATATATATATATTATATTTAAAATCTTTGAACGTAATTTAATAACTCATGTCTTAAGATTCTCTAAAATTTATTATAACTTTTCTTGCATTTTCTGAACTCTTTATTTACTTATTTTTTACTTAATTATTTACTTAATATGACCTAGATGAATTAGAATTCGAAAAGATCTAATTATTCGATAGGCGGTAAGATCTTTGACTTAGGGTGACTGGGACTGACCCTAATTATAATGATTTATAGCCGTTATTATATTGTTTTTGCAATCGATTTCTCGTAAAGAGAAAATCATGAATCTCAGATTTCAAGCAGAAAAATGATCTCCAACAAAATTATTGTCTGGCACGATATTACTTCTAAAAAATCGTAGTGGCAATCTTCTTATTCCTTCTACAAAAATTATTATCTTCTTTGTAGTGTTTCATGATCAGTTGAATCTATATCCTTGTTTAGGTTATCCAGTTGAAAATGAATTGCTATGCGAAAGGAAGAGCTAAAGTTGAAAATGAATTGCTATGCAAAAGAAAGAGCAAAAGCTATGCAAAAGAAACTGTGCAAGATTTAAGAGAAAAAAGTTTTTTCTGCAAGAAATGATTGAGAATTTGGAAAGCTTTCCTACATTTTTCTACATTATTTACTGAAAGTGAATCCCAGTGAGAACGCTTACATTTAATAAAATGCAATAATATTCATGCTACTGTTAAATGTGGTGTTAAATAAGGGAATGTAATAATTCCATTGATGAAAATGCTTTCAATTTACTATTTTAATGTGTATCTAAAATTTCGTTAAAATGCTAACATTCAGTGTATTTTTAATCACATCATTTTGATAAAGTCAAAAATAGAAAAACTGCATGAAAATAAAGATATTAAATAACATTTTAGCTGTTAAATATAGATTAAAAAGCGCTCATTAAATTTTAAATGGGTTCCAGACTTCGACAAATTATTCTGAATAAAAACTGGAGTAACGTCCCCTAATAATTGTTAACGTAATTAAGTACCTGTAATATAAAATGAATTAATATTGATTTGATGACTACTTATCTAAATTGACAGTGCGTTAATTTTTCCTCTTTTTATTGATAAGCATTACTTTTAAAAATTCCGTATTAAATATATTAATGGAAAACAATTATTAATGTTTTAGTAGTCTTATTATGACACTTGATTTTTAATATAGTTAATGTTAGCTGTTATATCTGGTGATTTTCTGAAGATATATTTTAATATATTTCAATTTTCTGAGGTATTTTGTTTTCCATGTTTGTTAATAAACTAAAAGTTGATTGCCCTAATTATTTTCTCAAAGATTCATATAATTTGCTTTTCCTGAGTAACCCAATAAAGGGATCATATGAAGACGTTTAATTTTAAATAGTTAATTTCATATTTCTAATAAAGACAAATGGTTCTGAAATTATTTTCTTTAAACTGAATCATTTTGTTTTCATTATTTCTCAAGTTGGATCAACCATCATTTGGAACAGACCGAAAAACTTTGTTGAATAAAGAAGATTTATATTTAACTAACTTGTATGGCTTGGTATTTATACCTTACCTTCTTGATATGCACAATGCCGCTCGTAAATTGGCACTGAATATTTATGGTTCCTGGTCTGGGAAAGATGTTACCATTCAGGCAGAAATGGAAAAGGTTTTTCGCTTTGAAGGTATGCTCGTCAATGTAAGTACGAAAATTCTTTCTATTACTCTTCATCAACTTATTTTTCAAGTCGGTTAGTGTGTTCTATTTACATATTTATTGTATGTCACATGATCAATCTATTTAATATAATTTTTATAAAAATAAAATTTTTTATTTATTCCATATAGTATGTGGAGATCTTAAAACTGCTTCATATCAGTAGGAATTCTACAGATGTTTAACTAAAGTTTCTTCATGTACGGAGTATATATTCTTCCAATATTCATCAAATAATGAAACTGTGAGTACATGTAAAATGATGGATTCGGATTCAAATTAGCCATTCACTCAAAATTTAAATAATTACATTTGGCAGTGATAACGATAAAAATAGACAAATATTTTATTTACTACCTGCAATGATTATGTTCAGCAATGAAAATTCATTCAGGAAATATATTAATACATTAAAATAATATTTAGGCTGTTAAAAATGCGTGCTGCAGAACATTCTTCTTTAAAGACTTGAGTAATTCTCCGTAAGATAAAGCCTTTCTTTTGTACTTTGATATATCATTTATATTTAAATTGTGTTACAGCTTTTAGCGCAAGTAGAATGTAATTTTGGATTCATTAGATCCTATATATAAAATGATGCTACCCACCAGTAACGAGGTTTCCGTTTTCACTAAATATTGGCTCACATTTTTTTGGAGAATAATATACAAGGTCCTAAGGAAACCACAAAACGCACATCCGTCACTGCATATGTTTCCTGTCATTTCTTATTTTCAACAGACATACTAAGACATATATAGTCTCATGCGCATGCCCATAAAGTTGAAAATTATGAAAAACGCATAACTATCTTTTAATCATTCATAATCCATATTAAAGAATTTAAAGTCTTTACTACTTTATGTTTAATATCCTTATTAATGCTACAGCTTTGTCTTTACTCATCAATTTAGAAATCGAAAATAAAATGATTTGCGCGTTGTCACGTACTCTGTCTTTCTGCTGCTCATATGAAAGCAATACATGCTGTCCAGTATACTGCATCAGTTGACGAAATATTTTGCAAGTGTAACGAGAACTTCTCCCTTAACCCCTGCTTCCTCCCACATCTTAATAGTGTAGTAGTTTCCCTTCGAATGCATACAGTCACGTTATTTGAACACTTGAGAAAAATCCGTATAAGTTAATTAGGTAAATAACAGTTAGCTTGTAGAGACATTAAGATTTTTGAAGCAGGAGTCATGAAAAATGAGCAATGCCCTCGCCGGGACTCGAGCCACGGACTTCTCGCATACGCGCCGAATGGGCTGATTATTACACCACGATGGCATGCTAAGAAGGAGGGAGAAATACCTTATAAGTTTATCAATGTTATACAGCAATGGTATCAACGCAAACCAGCATTTCGCATAAAAATCAGATACTATCCCGATGGATACTGACTTGCAAGCATACAAGCCCCCGAAATATAATAATCCAAACAAAGAAGAAATGACATTACTTATCCATATCTAAAAATGTAGTCCGAAAAAGCAATTAAACACTTCAATCTTTAGAACAACCATTTTCTATTTACTTTTAACAACAACAACGGTAAAGAAAAATCTGGTAACCATGGTAACACTTTGCGACTGCGCAGACTATTTTCACAGATGATGTGTTAGCGTCGCAGAGCAAATACAAAATTATTAAACACACCCCACCTGTACTCTGTTAAAAGTACCAGTTAAAAGTCTGTTAAAAGTTCTGTTAAAAGTCTGTTAAAAGTACACTAAGAATTAAGAAGAGATCAAATACAATACAAATTAATAAGTATAACACAAATATAATTAACATAATACAAATAATATTACATGAGCATACACTGTACTTAATGACATTTATTATGCATAAGACAGTATTAAAGGAGAAATATCAGGTTATTTCAAGTGGATAAATTAACTGGATTGGTGTTTTATATTGTCTCTTGTTAGTTCGAATAACACATGAACGTACGTGTCTGTCACGCCCAGCAAAACCTCTTCGACAATACCCAGTGGCCAGAGAAATTTTGATTTATCGGCCCCCTCAAGCAAAACTACATCTGCTCTTTTAAGATCCTTTCCTAGTGATGGATTTACAAAATTATGTGCATTTCTCAATTGCATCAAATAAGTATCTTTCCATTTCATCCATATTTGACGTAAAAGTTTAGTCTGATATGATTTTTGACGAGTCAAAGTTTCCTTTGTAGAAAGTTGACTGCCGAAAATTTCAACAAAATGTACAGGATAGCTAACATTCTCTTGACCTGGAAAAAACAAATGGACCGGAGTAAGAGATTTGGGTTCATTTAATTCATTGCTTACGTAAGTAAGGGGTCTACGATTTAATACCAATTCGATTTTCGCTAGAATGGTCGTCATTTCTTCGAAGCTAAGACAAGCCTTTCCAAGGACTTTCCTTAAAGGGTCCTTAATGCATCTCATGAATCTCTCATAGAACACACCCCACCATGGGGAATGAGGGACAATAAACTGCCAGCAACTAATTTTTAACCAAAATTTGGCCGAAACCTTTCAAAATGCTGTTTGTGATCTTAAAACTCTTAGCATTATCAGAAAAGATGACATTACAATTCCCCTTTCTTGCCAAAAAACGTCTTAAAATTTTTCGTCGACATATCAGTAATTAATTCGATATGAAATGCTCTAGTAACTCCACACGTGAATAATGCTATGCATGATCTTTGTTGAGTGTCCTTTCTGGAACGAAGAAAGACTGGACCTGTAAAATCAACTCCAGATACAGTAAATGGAGGATTTTCCAATACTCGATCCTTTGGCAACTGAGCTGTTATCTGTTTAGCAGATTTTACAGAATATCTGCTGCAAATGAGACAATTTTTTAAAACCTTCTTTACAACTTGTCTACCTTTTGGAATCCAAAACCTATTTCTAATTTTAGCAAGAGTCGCAGATACTCCACCATGGTAAATTTTGTTACGTTCCCTTAAAATTAATAACTTAGTGAATTTAGACTGTTTTGGTAATACGTATAACTGGATGGATTTTATCAGTGGCAAAACCGCTTTGCTCAAGCCTACTTCCTTACGCGCAAAATAACGTTTTCATCTAAAAATGCGGCTAGTTTATAAAGAGACGATTGCTTAGAAATCTGGGTACCACATTTAAGGCATTCTAATTCAGAAGAGTGCACAAGTCCTTGTTCATACTGTATCCAGTCCTGTTCTGCCTTCAAGAGTTCAACTGCAGTGTAAGGTCCCATTTATACCTGTTCTTTTCTAAGTTTACAAAAGAATCTTTTAATTAATACCGTAATTTTCAGTACCTTAGTTAGGTTACTATAGCTATTCAAATCGAAAATAAATTGAGAATTCTCCACTGCGCATTTATTTTGTGTTATAGTTTCAAATCCCTTTCTCAATTCTAAATCCTCAGGGAGATTATCAATTTTAATCTTATCAGGCCAAAATTCATAAGGTTGACTCAACCAAGGTGATCCATGCCACTACAAAGGATCTCTAGCTAAATTCGATGCTGAAATACCCTTGAAAAGGATATTCGCAGCTATTTTTTTTTTCCAGGATAATGATACCATTTGTTAGGATTGGTCAAATTTTGAATTTCTTCTACTCTGTTCTTCACAAAGGGTTTGTATTTACAGGCCTAGGACAATGATACCATTTGTTAGGATCAGTCAAATTTTGAATTTCTTCTACTCTGTTCTTCACAAAGGGTTTGCATTTACAGGCCTTACCCCTTACCCAAAACATATTTTGGAGTCAGTCCAGAAGTAACAGTTTACATCAAATTTCAAGCATTTACTTACTTGTTTAACAAGCCTAAAAGATAATAAACATGCTAGCAATTCCAAACGTGTGAGTATGATAGATTTGAGAGGGGCGACTCTATTCTTAGAGCATACAAAACTAGTAATAACTCTATTGTCTCTAGTGAGTGCTCTCAAATATAGCACTGTCCCGTATGCCACCATAGATGCATCTGAAAAAGAATGAACATCAAATGAAACAAAATCACATAACTTGAATTCAGAAAGATAATATCTAGGAACTGTGACGTTATTCAAATGTTCAACTTCTCTGCACTACAACTACCACTCGTAGTCCAGTGAAGAGGGGAATTCATCATCCCAGTCCACGACAGCTGAACACAGCTCTTGAAGTAATAGCTTAAGCCGAACTATGAAAGGTCCGATGAATCCAATAATTGGGTCGTATTTGCAAGACGAAGTGCTTTGTACTGGATCTGTTATAAATCTTTTATGTTGAAAAACATCAAGTCCTTTCTCTATTCCAGGCCATTCTTAGAACTTTCGACGGCGTATTATATCCAGTGAGGGCTTCTTCGGTATCAATAGTTTCTATACCATCTCTCTTCCATAGGTTGCGAAGTTCGGTGGAATTAGTCTGCCATTTCCTTAGCATAATTCCAGCATTCTTAAGAATTTCAGTGCTTTCGATGCTGGTTTTCAGAAATGTCTCTACTTCGTCAGCTCCAACAACAAAATTGTCAACCCAGAAGGAATTTAGTAGCAATTCACAGGTTTCTGGATACAAATTTCGATAATTTTCAAAATGAAATTTCAGTGTAGCTGTCAGTAGGTAAGGACTTGATTTAAGTCCAAACAAAATACGAATAAAATTCAGCACAAAAAATTTGCTTGAACTTAGATCATTAATCCAGAAAAATTTAGTATACCGACGATCTTCTGGGTCGATTTGAATTTGCAGGAAGGCTTTCTGTATGTCCGATGTATAGGCTATAGAATTTTGCCTAAATTTTAATAGATAAATTAGGATACAAGTTAGCACCAGTGTGGGAGACAGTCATTTAGTGAAAGTTCTTCTTCTCCATGAGCTGCACCATCAAATACAATTCGCAGACGGCTGCTGACTTTGTCTTCTCGAATAACAGCGTGGTGGGTTAAGTAAAATGATAATTCATCCCCTAACAAATCAGAAGATGTTTCAACTATTCCTTCTTTAAGATAACTATCAA